AAAAAAATAATCAAATAATAAATAAAGGGGATAATAGTAAAGAGTCATTCTGAACAGTTCAAAGAAAGGTACACATGAAAGGAAACCTCTCAACAAAACAAAACTAACTGATTTTAATGGATTTTTGGAACGGAGATAAAATCAAAGGTAAATGTAAACCAACTGTGGGAAAAGTACTGTTGCATGTGTCCCTGGAATCCATCTTGACTAGCCTGATCCCGTAAGGCTGTCGATAACGAGTCCATTTCCTGATAATGGAAAATTTTCATGGGCCCCCGCGATCTCAAAAGTATACGTTGCAGGAATTTTCTTATTTTTAGCCTTGTAAGGTCAAGTCTAAGTGCAATTATGTATCTCTGTGGAACGAAAGAGGTGATGAACGTATAGGCAACGTGTTCCCTGACTAATGACTATAAAAGTAAAATTCCAACCTGGGGAGTAAATAGTCCAGGGACCTCGCCACTGGAAATCAGGCAGTTGATCGACTCGAGAAAACTTGGCTGAAGAATTTTGTAGTCTTCGAGAAGAAATACGACATGTTCACTATTGGAAATCGCCGTCTGGATCGTCTGAAACAAAGGTGGACAAACGTCTTGAAAGACCTTCAAATCGCATACATTCAAAAAAAAAAGCTTCTTTATCTACTCTACCCACGTTCTTCAATTCCAAATCAAACTGTTTTTGTCCATAGTTAGGCGTGATTTTCGGTGTGAAAAGGGCCATCTGATGCATGTTGGCGATGAGACGGATCGCATCAGCTCGACCAAGGCCAGGGCGACCGGCTAGCAGGAGTGAGCCACCTGATTAGGTAATTTAAGTTTTCTTAGAAGTTTTTTAGGGATTTTTTTGGCCCCAACAGATTATTTAGCGAAGATTCCATCATGTCCTTACAATTAAGCATAATTCACCTGAACCTCATAAGAGACAGGGAACTCAAAGGATTACCTGGTGCGGTGAGGGCACGGTCAACACGGGCGCACAGCTCACACATTTCATCCGTCAGTGCATTCGAGAAGTTGGCCACTTCGAATTCTGTAAACATAAAAGAGACTTGTTGTGGGATATACCTGAGCCCGGTCTCTACCCATTGAGAAAGTTACCTCCTCCACTCCATTACGGTCTCTACCCATTGAGCAAGTTACCCCCTCCACTCCATTACACTTATTTCTTTTCACTCAGGTAATAGACTGGGCGGTACTTATTGGAAGTGTCAAGAGACCCTTACTAGTTGAGTGAACTGAAAATGGCTTAACATACCGTATCGATTGACAGCCTTTTGTAGAATACTCTGATAATCGCGCTTTGAATGTGGCACCAATGGTAAACCGACGATGTTGTGAGATGGTACTACCGTACCTGTCGTTACGTACAGTTGGTCTGAAATCGAGATCATTCTACAAGATCCTCAGAAAATTTTTAAACAGAAAGCATAATACACGTCTGAATGAATAACTTTTATAGTTGCAGTTGATGGTATACCTCAGTCACGGTAATAGTAAACGACCCAATTCGCCAATGCGCTGCGATCTCTCTTACCAATTTTTCAGCGCATTTTTGAGCCAGGTTTCAATTTCTTTCATTAGCAGTTCCCCATCTACTTCAATGAACGAATTCTGTTTGCAAGTTTGGTGAAGCCCTCCCTCTCTGCCTTATGTTAATAATAAAGTGAGAAAGGTACCGATCTTTTCATATAAGCTACAACTAGGGCTCATATTTATGAAATAGCAGATCAAAGTAAAAGATTGTAGTACAGGGAAAGCCCCAATAAGCAAATTCCGCTCCCAAATGGGCGTGTGTCATAATACGCAACAGGACTGAATAGGAAATTATAGTGAGGAGTTTTCAAGAAAGTTATTTTGAGAGCATCAAAACGAAAAAATCTACCTCTTCCTCTTTGTGCAGCAGGAATGACGTACGCCAGCAATTCTTCAAATTTAACCGCGTGCTCTTCAGTCGCCAGTCTGAAATTCAGCATTTTCCGAAGTCGATTTGCTTCGGAATTTCAGGATGCTGAACAATTTGGTATTTGGTATTGGTTGATCTGCCACTAAACAGAAAGCTCAAGTGAACTAGCAATTCTGCTTCCACAAGAGGATCTAAATAGGAAGATACTCCGCGATGACCCGAGGCTTCGAGTGTTTCAGTAAGTGGCCAGATAACGTACGTGAATAGCATTATGGCACTTACCACGTAAATACTGTAGCATGAACACTTCTTTCAACCAAATCTTTAGTTGCCCAAAGAGAGGAAAGCTTGTAGGAGACTCGTTATAGGACTTTGCTAGCGACATAAAGGTGTGATAGCAGCTTAATTGTTATAATGGTGTCAGTAAAGATGCGCTGGCGTGCATGTTATCTCACGCCACTTATCGTACCTCACTTTTTATTGCGGGTTGGTGTTTCACCAAAACCACAAAGTCAAACTTACAACCGATACTGTCCATACTGCAAAGGAAGAAGATGATCTTACTTATCCATGAATATCCGCCTTGATTCGAACGCAACCACTTCGATCACCTTTGACTCATCGGTCAGCTCATGCCGCATCGTTCCGATTGTCCATTTAGTCAGATCTCTTGGCGTGAAAATGTAATGGCCTGGAAATGATAGGTTTGAGTTATAGCAACACCTGACGCCTATGGTGCTGGCCTAGGTGTGTTACAGAGTTACTGGATAGACAATTAGAATAGTGAAGGCAGTAGATAGATGAAAATAATCGAATCATAGTTTTTCAGAAGTGCAACCTCTATCAGCAGGGCGAAAATTAGACCGGACTTCCTCATACAGCCGCACCATAACTGAAGCCATGGCCTCTACACGAACCGGTGAACCAAGTGGAGCCTGAAAAATGGCATTTGACCATAAGGCGCACCCGAACTCTATAGGAGGGTATTTGGAAATGTTATTATACATGCCTCCAAAATTGGCATAAGATAGGCTGAATAGATAGCGTTCAGATTCTTCTCAGTTGGGTACCCAATAGTGATTGTTCGCATCAGGGACATCAATCGTGGAGGTATAGAGGACTGAGTCGCCAATGGTGCCATCGAGGCCACTATCTGGAACTTGACTGAACATGAAGAATTGTCTGTTTTGAAATGGTTGAAATTCAAAAGATCAAGAAATTTTGAAAAAATAAACTAGATAAAAAAATAAAACCCATAC